GCGTAAATGGTTTCAAACTGTTTTATGGTCGATCTTTAGATCCTAGGCGATGCTACGGCTACTAACATGTCGATCAACTTCGATTATTTCTGTGATTTTACCGACATTTTCGACGACGGGCCGGGCTGTGAGAGATGCATCTTTAACATCAAAAATGCCTCAACGGATTCCATTGAACCAAAATTGCACGTAACTGGCTGTTACAGTATCGGCACCATAAACACCATTCACAATTTCAGCCACCTGGCTCGCATTTTTGCCTCTATCAAAGAAAAACTGTAAAGGTACCGAATTTTCTCTATGTTGACTTCTATTTTTAACACACTGTAACTCACAACTGAATGGACCAAACAAAAAAAACCAGAAGAATTTTTTTTAGTTTAAACGGTTACCTTGACAACAAGTAAAGGGTGTTTTTTTAGAGGTATAGAACTTTAAATTGCAATAAAACAACGATGTATTATTCGACCGACATGAATTTTTTTTTATTCGAAAGATAATCTTGTAGCATTACATTTTAAATATGATCAAGCAAGGCGTAGATTCGTCGAATGGGCCCAAAACGAGATTGCCGTTGTTCCCGATTTTCATAAGCGAATTTTGTTTAGTGATGAAGCGCACTTCTGGTTGAATGGCTACGTCAACAAACAAAACTGCCGCATTTGGAGTGAAGCTAATCCACAAGTGTATGTCGAAGCACTGTTACATCCAGAAACCCTGACTGTTTGGTGCGCTTTATGGTCTGGTGGAATCCTTCTTCAAAAACGATGAAGGCCACAACGTTACAGTCATTGGTGATCGGTATAGAGCCATGATTACTAACTTTTTCATTCCTGAATTGAACAATCATGATGTCCATGAGCTGTGGTTCCAACAAGACGGCGCAACATGTCACACAGCTCGTGCCACAATCGATTTATTGAAAGACAAGTTTGGTGACCGCCTAATTTCACGTTTTGGACCTGTGAATTGGCCTCCAAGATCTTGTGATTTAACACCGCTAGACTATTTTCTGTGGGGCTATGTAAAGTCATTGGTCTATGCGGAAAAGCCACAAACGCTTGACCATTTGGAAGACAACATTCGCCGTGTTATTGCCGATATACGGCCACAAATGTTGGAAAAACTCATCGAAAATTGGACGTCCAGATTGGACTACATCCGAGCCAGCCGTGGCAGTCATATGCCAGAAATCATATTTAAAATATAATGCCACAAGATTATCTTTTGAATAAAAAAAATTCATGTCAATCGAATAATACATCGTTGTTTTATTGCAATTTAAAGTTCTATACCTCTAAAAAAACACCCTATATAAATTTGAAATTGTTTAATCGATACTTCAACGAGATATCGATACTACAGCCATCTACCAAAAAAAATAATGGATTTCTATTTCCCCAACCTAATATACACTGCTCACAACAATTAGGGGAGCACATGATTTTAACAAAAGTAAGCAAAGATGTATACCAATAAGTAACATAAAATGAATCATCCATAACGTAAAGCCTACCAGGAAACTGAAGAAGAAAACTTTATATGCAAATCAAAGTTCATGACGTCAAAAACCAGAAAAAGGAGATAAGGGCAGAAATCGGGATGTTGCAGAAACGTCTGTTTTATGGCCGTAACTGTGAAATTCGATTGCGCAGTATTTTTTTGAGACAAGGTTACTTGAGAATGTCTCAACAACGTGATTTACCGGTATCCATGGCATGGTGTGTTATAGGCAGACTGGAATCTGGGCAAAAACAACATAGTGTCGCGGACGCTGTTGGAGTCGCCAAAAGTGTTGTTGCAAGGCTGTGGAATCGATTCCCAGAAACAGGAAATGTTAGACGTCGACCAGGGGCAGGTCGGCCACGCGCCACTACATCAACTGATGGCCGGTATATACAGTTAACAGCCCATCGAAACAGAGCAGAGAATGCTACGCAGCTGCAAAGAGAGTTGCTCTTGGCAACAGGACGAAGGGTGTCCAGCCAAACAGTACGTAATCGGCTTCATGAGGGAGGGATCTATGCACGTTGGCCAATGGTCTACATTCCGTTGACCCCACGCCGCGGTGTGGCCCGAAGAAGATGGACTGCTGAACATCGAGATTGGGAGCAACATCATTGGAGCCAAGTGCTGTTTACAGACCTGTCCAGATTCAGTCTAGAGTGTGACACCCGACGTGTTCTTGTATGGAGGGACAGGGGTACTCGAAATAACCCCGCATTCGTTCGTGAAAGGTCACAATACAGAAGAGCTGGTTGGATGGTATGGGGTGGAATCAGCATAGGCGGACGTACGGACCTGCATATCATTCGGAATGGCACTTTGACGGGCCGAAGGTATGCAGACGGATACTTCGACCTCATGTCATCCCTTACGCTGGAGCCATTGGAGATTCCTTTGTTTTTCAGGATGATAATGCCCGACCGCATAGAGCTCGTCTGGTGGAGAATATGCTTGAAGCTGAAACAATACAGCGTAGGGAATGGCCAGCGTGCTCTCCTGTCCTGAATCCAATCGAGCATGCTTGGGGGACATGCTCAAACGATGCATTGCTGCGCGACCAAGGCCGCCTGCTACTGTCCGAGACTTGGAGATTGCACTTCTTGAGGAGTGGAACAGTATTCCCCAAAGTCTGATCGATAACCTCATCGCATTCATGGCAAACAGGTGTGCAGCAGTCTTAGCTGTTCGAGGAGACCACACGCCCTATTAAAACTCATGCATCATGTCTAAACAGTACCTTTTTTTATTGTTTACATGTAACCAAATTGTTGCCCTAAATCATCTTTTCATGTTTCTTCCATATTTTCAAAGAATTAAAGCTTAATTCCAAATTTTTTTACGCCTTTTTTCTGTATTGCGCATTGATACGTGTGTACTATGCATTGTATGCCAATACGTGGCTGTCTCACACGGTTTTCTTCACTTTTTTGCTTGCTCCCCTAATGGTTTTGAGCAGTGTATTATATATAAATGAAAGTTTGTCTGTCTGTACTCTAGAGATTCAAAAACCATACAACCAATCGCTGTGAAAATTCGGGAAATTATTAGGTATATCCCAGGGAAAGTTTTTGAATTTTCGTTTAACCCAAGGGGGGTTACGGTGGTTTAAGGGGAGTTAGAGAAAATTAGTTCCATTATTAAACTATTAGATGTACAGTCTTAAGACTTGGTACGCAAAATAATTTTTACGAAAATTGAACTCCAAGGGGCGTTCTACATAATTATTTAAATTTCTAAACTATTAATATCGAAATTTTGTAAGCGGATTTCCCTTTCATAAGATATCTGCTAGAAAATGAGTTTTGTGAAAATCGAATTCCAAGTGGCTTTGCACTTAAAGACCGTTATCGATAATTTCCGTTTTCAAACTATTTGACGGACAGTCTCTAAATTTTGTAAGCAGATGCCTTTCCTGGAGTAGAGTTCCGCAACAAAATGGGTTTTTATGAAAATCGACCCCCAAGTTGCGTTGCGGAGAATTAAGTGGCGTTATAGGAAACTATCACCTTTTTATAACTATTAGACGAAAATCTTAAAATTGAGTAAGCAGATTCCATTCATTGAATAGAGATCTGCTATAAAATGGGTTTTGAGAAAATCGCTTCCTAAGGGGCATTGCGGGGGCTTAATTAATTATTAGCTTAGTGGGGGTTAGATAATTATTTCCGTTTTAAACTATTAGACGCACAGTCTTGAAATTCTATAAGCAGGTTTCTTTCGTGGAGTAGAGATCCGCTACAAAATGGTTTGGGGAAATTTGACCCCCAAGGGGCACTGAAGGGGATTAAGGGTCGTAATAGATAAATTTTTTGGCTTTTCAACTATTAAACCCACCTGCTTTAAGAATAGAAAGTTTGTTACTTTCATGGAATAGAGTTCCTATAACAAAGAGTTTTGCGAAAACCAACTCCCAAAGGAGTGGGGTTTCAAAGGTTAAGGCGAGTTATAGAAAAATTCCTGATTTTGAATTTAACCCATTTATTTGAAATTTGTTGAGCACGTTTCTTTAGTTGAACATAGTTCCAATAAGAATGGATTTTACGGAAGTAAACTCCATGGGGAAGCGGGGGAATTATTGGGGCGTATTGATAGACAAAATTTCCGTTTTCGAGAACTACTAGAACTATAATAATAAAATTTGGTTTGCATGTTTCTTTTGCTGAATTGAAATCCGCTAAGAATGCTCTCAACGGGGTTACGGGGCATATTGATGATAAAAATTCCATTTTTACTCTATTAGATTTAGACTTGAAATTTAGCACACATGTTTATTTTATACAGTAAAGATCCACTGAAAGTTGCTTTGACTGAAATCCACTTGATTATTGAGTTAAGTGAGCGCAAAAAAATCTTTCTACTTCTATTTTAGATGTTAATAGAAACTAGAAATTATAATTTATGTCCTTTTTGAAGTTATACTTCTTTTGGGGCGTTAGAGAAATAGGACGAGGGTGAATTTTTACGATGCGCGCGCACACCGTCACAGATGCGACATGCTTTGTCTAGAAATATACAGAACGTTACAGATCCATTTCCGCCTTCGAAATTCTCAGGAAAATATTTCTCTTCACTTCCCTAAAGAAGGGGACACCCGGGTTTGAACCGGGGATATATCGAACTGCAGTCCAATGCTCTACCACTGCACTATACACCTCGTGTCAGCGAGGCTTTGCTTTGCGTTCCGTAGGAACGGATGCGAAAATGCTTTGTCTAGAAATATACAGAACGGGACAGATCATTTCCGACTTCGAAATTCTCAAAAAAAAATATTTCTTTTCACTTCCCTGAAGATGACACCCGGGTTTGAGTCGGGGGCCTCTCCATCTGCTATCGAATGTTCTACCACTGCTCTATACACTCCGTGTCAGCGAGCCTTTGCTTTGCTTTCCGTAGGAACGGATACGAAAATGCTTTGTCTTAAAATATACAGAACGGCACAGATCATTTTCGCCTTCGAAATTCTCAAAAAATATTTCTCTTCACTTCCCCGAAGAAGGGGCCACCTTGGTTTGAACCGGGGACTTCTCGATTGGCAGAGAGAGTCGAATGATCTTCCACTGAGCTATACCCTCCGTGTCTGCGAATATTTGCTTTGCGCTGATTTGCGACATCACTACTAGTAGGGAGAGATCGCCCTTCGCCTACGGAGCTTCTTGGATGCATTTATTTGAACACTTTTTATTATTAATCCAAACATACTTACATATTTTTTAAAAAAATATTAAATTAATCTTTAAATTGTGTTTCATGTACATAAAACATAAGAGTAAATATTAGTTTATCTATTGAAGTAACAATTGCAAGTAGTATATGATTTTAGATGTATTTACTACGAACACATTGCGATGAACATCAATACATTTATTACATTTTAGCAAATTATAAGAGCCTTTTGTATTCGCATATTTATTTTTGAAGTTATCCTTCTTTTTGGGTGGTTAGGGAAAAAGGATGGTAAATTTTTACGATGCGCGCGCACACCGTTGCCTAATATTTTAACATGCCACTTTTTTGGTGCTATGGGACTGATATTCGGGGGATCATAATAACTATTGTTATCAAACATATCTGTTGGGACGCATCCCCTCTGTGCATTCCCTCCTCTACAGCTTTTTGGCCAATATCTCGGCACCCGAGCCTCATAGTCCATTCGGACCTGGCTCATTCGATCCCTCTCTCTCTGCTCTTCCAGTTATTATAATTTCATGTGCTGATAGGGCGATTTCTTTCATAGTTTTTAATTGTCTTAAACTTTTTAAATTTGTTAAATTTCACATTATCTTGGCTCCTGTTCGAGTCTCGGACTTGAGATTTGAACCAAGTATTCCATTGGTCGTCGAAACCCATCCAGTCATCTGCTTCATCCCCATTGTGTAGGCATGGGGAGAGCTTAAGCACTAAAATATCATGCTCCCATGCTAATTCTATGGGGAATGGAAAAAATTTCACCCCTTCCCCCTAAGGAATTGCGCTTGGAACTTGCGTTTTGGAGGCCCGCCATAGTTTCGTATTAGCACGAGCTTGACGGGGAACTGGCTCCCTTCCCACTACAGGGCTTCTCCAGAAATAACTGGAATCCTATGCCACCTTGGTCGACCGCACCGGCTGGATTCGATTGTTCTTCCTATGAGCATCCTAGATATATTTTTTCAGGACCATATAGCCCTATTTCTTTAACTATATTTAACATTTTTAAATTATTTTAAAGTTATAATTTTTGTAAATCCCGCATAGCTCCGAGGAGTTTTGAGATTTGTTAATGAAACTCGGACCATATGTTTTCCTCACATTGACCTGTTTCACCTGTTATAATTCATTTATAGGTAGTGGGCTTGGGGGGGCGTTGTCACTAAAATTAGAATCCCCATGTTTTTCTTATGAGGTTCGATCTTTTGATGACCTAACGATATTAGAGATAGAAGGATGAAACTTCGGGATCACCTACTACTCTACGTATCGTTGGGATGTACGTGACCATTTTTGACACTGTTGTTCCACTCCGGGGGAGTTAATTTCGTTTTCCTTCCCCGAGCTAGCACCGCCCCATTGGCAACTACAGATTCCGTACGGGTACTAATTTATTCCTATCGTGTTTGTTCACTACCAGACCCAGTTTTGAGTTGCTGGGTGCCCTTCTTCTCTTTTATTTAATTGTTTTAATTATTTTAAAATGACTATAACTCGGAGGCTCTTCAGGCTGATGTTTTAATTTTCTCAGGAACGATTCTTCCCGTCGTGACATTCAATATGAGGTATTAGATGTCACATTCGGCTCATATCTCCAGATACAGTCTGATACTCCCCCCATGTTATTGGTCCTATTGTCCCTGTGCGGGGGTGTTTAGATTTATATTAAAATTGTGATTATCTCAGGTTTGGCTGATCCAATCGACTGAAGATTAGTATCGTGCACCTCTGCTTGTAACCACCCTTGGCCCAGCTTGCCCTGCTAAAAATTTTTAGAAAGATTTTAACCTTGTTACGCCAAAGAAGTATAACTTCTTACTTGCGTACATAGTACACACATACACACACACTTTTTTAACTACATTTATCGTGATAATGAATTAGTTAGTGATAAATCTAATATATATTTAAATTTCATTAACTTTATTAACCAATGTATTGAACATGGATATCCTGCTAACTTTCTTTACAATTATAGTTCTAATTGTTCTCAGTGAAATGACAATATATAATAAATACAGTTATTCAATAGATGGCGCCACATGTTTAAATTTTCTTGTGTATGTTTGTGAAGGTTTTTTTCCTATAAAATTTAATACCAATATTTAAGGTTTTTTTAAACGTATAAACATAATCTTAAATTTATTTTATCATAATTCACTAATTTTAATCTAGGCGGTACTACAATTTTGTTTTGTATTGAGCGGGAAACCTAATTTGTTGCTGTACTCACGAAGTAAGTTTTACCATGTACTTTATTGCATCGACTTTAAATCTATACTTGTAAATATTAGTAGGCTATAATTTTACCATTGCATTTTAATGGTTTAGTGTATTTTCTTTGTAATATTTAATTTTTTTCTAATATTATTCCTTCCTTTCCCTATGGCTCAGTGGTTAAGGCAAATTACAAGTGAAGGTTAGCCCTCCTTCTCCCTCCTCTAATTTGTAAAGATTACTACCAGTTGATATTTAAGTCAGTGTTTCTCAAACTGTGGGACGCGCCCCCCTGGAGGGTGCAGTAACCCTGCGAGGGGGGAGCAAGCATATTGAAAATAAAGGTTTAACAATAACTTTTTGGAAAGAAGTAAAACAAAATGCTTTCTGACATAATAAAAAATACACATTTACACTGATATAATTTATTTTTATCATCTGGTGATCATCAAAAACAAAAGATTCCACTTATTAGCCATATTTGATCCTATAACCAAATTAAAAAAATATATTTTGTTTGCTTTGCGGTCAATATGAGAACGATGAGGGATTTTTTTTACGTTTCTTTTAACGATATCAAACGAAGAGAGATTTTTGTAGTACGTTTCTTTAAACCTAAAATATTACTTTAGCTGACTTTCGAACTTACTGGTATGGTTATCTCCGTCTTTTTTTTTTAGGGAAGTTGTAAATATGTATAATATATTTCTGTTTCATCTTTTTCCATGTGAAAGAGTTTTATGATATATGGATAAGCATGCGTATTCTGAAACGTATAATGCATAATGGAAAAACGTTTTACACAATTATTTTTTAGAATATACTACACTTTCCCCATGAACAATTTTGTAGTTTAGATTGCTGTGTTGTACGACTTATTATGATTAATAAAATGTAAATACGCAGAATATTAAAAAAATGGGCATATGTGATCCCTATTGAAGGAAGCTGAAACTGATCAAGCAATTGAAGAACCTACTGAAATAATGCATATTAATCAAGATAGCGAAAGTAAATATCAGAAAAGCGTTAGACATGAAACGTTTCAGTTGATTTGAAATTTTCAAATGCTGCCTAAAGATCTCTATGAAGAAAACTATGAAGCCATAATGTAGCACTTCGCCTTCTAAAAAAAACACAAGGAAGAAAAAAATTCAAAATGCTGTTCGCAGATCATCAAACAACAGCCAAACTACAAAAACGTGAACAAAATATGACAGTTTAGGTGGAAAATAACGTTCCTGTGTGGTTAGCGAAAAGGGTCTGTGATTTATGTCCTTTATTAAGGGCACGCACATTTGGAAAATTTTCTTTAGTTTTATTGGATTTTTTCTCAAATTTTCTAAGAAAAATTGAAAAGTCCTTGAAAGTAGGTAAGTATATTTTCGTAATTAAATTATTCAGTGGAATTGGGATTTTTATCGTGTATAGTTTTAAAACAAACTAAAAAACACTCTTTTATAATGAATCGAACTAAAAAAAAAAAAAAAAAATATTACTTAAAGTAACATAAACAAAATTTAACACTTATCTTGTTAATTTGTCCAATTTATAATATGATCGTATTGTAGCTTTATCGCCAAAGTGCATTATTATATCATTCAATACATTATTTTTAGGGGGGCGATAAAGACTATGATTGAAAATTGGGTCACCAGTAGTGAAAGTTTGAGAAACACTGACTTAAACTGATATGATGAAGAATTTTTACCACGACACACATTTCTTTTCTTGCGGTGATGTTGGCACTCTTATACTCACACGTATAAAATCAGAGCAAACAGTTTCCTACGTACTATCTAAAATTAGCTTACATATTGTTTTACCGAGTATAAAATGAGAGATCTTTCTCCACTCTGTTTTGAGGCAGTATGGCCCATGAGGACAACAACCAAATTCCACACCAACCAACGTGAACTTAAACTCTGATTTTACTTATTCAATAATTACAAATTCCACAATAATATTTGCATCGAAAAGGATGAGATTCTATTTGTGTCTCCAGACATTTTCAATGAATAATGAACCCCAAGCTTAAATTTCTGAAAGAAAATCATGCGCTTGCTTTTTACGTAAAATAATTCAATATTTATCTCGCATGAAAAAGGATCTCATCTCATTTTTTTAAAAAAAGTTGAAAAACTTATTTAAAGCAGAGAGAAAATCAGCATTTTGCATACGAAACTTCAGTCGTGATCTGTTGATCGTAGAAAGAGGGTATATTTGAACCACAGACCTATCAGCCCGTAGCTACTCCGAAAAACTCTTAGACAGCTGGAATGAAGAGGTTATCCCTATTCGGGACAGCCCTTAAGACCTTATATTCATATACTTTGTTGCTCGCAAAATAAGGGGTAGCTTCTCCCTCGCCCCTCCAAGAGAAAAAATTTTGCTGGCGATGGACTTTCTGAGCGATACGTTATGTTATTTTTTAACGCGATATACATCTTTAGCAGGTTTTGAGAGTCGTTGGAACTTTTTTTCTGATGAAGTTGTGGGCAGTTTCTTGCTGAGACGGCAGGTAAGACTGACAATTACAACTCTACCGTTTCAACCTCCAGTCGAGATGCAGTGGGAAATTCTTAGTTTGATTATCCATGGAATGAGTGCATACTCATCCAATAGAGTTAGACCGTGCTTCCATCTAGAGTTCAATTCCTGAGTCT